TTTCCTTTGTCTCAAGCATTCAGCGTGGACCGTTTCAGATCTCAGTTCACCCTGATGTCGTGGGAACCCACTGCTTTAGTCCCCTGCTGCTCCCTTTGGGTGACGGCTCTGTGCAGCTGCGGTGTGCTGGTGATACCACTTCTCAGGCCCTGATGGCCCTGAGCTGCCCAGAGTGGCTATGGGAAAGCTCGTCTCTGAGTTTCTGTGCTCTTCTTTTTTTTTTTTTTTTGTCTTTTTTTTCCGTGTCTGGCAACAGATCGCAACCCTCAGTGTTGCCCCCGTACCGGACCGGGGACCGGCAACGGGACTGCAACCCTCGGTGTCGCTCCCGCGCCTCGCTCAGCCAGTGAGCGGGAACCGGTCTGTATGTGGGATCCGAACCCTCGGGCGGGAGCGCCGCCGCGCTTCCCAAGCGGCGCACTATCCAGTGCGCCACCGGGCCGGCCCCTGTGCTCTTCTTTTTAATGTCCATTTTTTTACCTGAAACCAGAGTCCTGTGGTGGGCTCCATGCCACCTGCTGGTGGAGGAGCCCAGCCTCCCGCCGGCCTGGGGGAGCAGAGGGGCGCACTGAGGGGAGAGGCAGCCGAGTCCACAGCTGCCAGCTGTGGGAACCTCATCTCTCACTGCCTGCTCCCACTGGTGTGCGTAGTCCAGCCAGGAGCAGACTCTGGCAGGGACATAAAGTCACACCTTATAATGACCATTAAACTAAAAATTAAAAAAAATTCTACAGGTAAAACGAATACATGCTTGCTAACATGATAAGGGGGATGTTGCAGTCCCTCTCCATTGCTCACTGCTGGGTGGGTTTTGGGGGGTTTGCCTGCACGCCTGCATGCACAGGAGGCTCTCCTTCCTGTGTTGTTCAGTAAAGATGGGATCACACCCCACACCTTGTCGGTTAACTGCTCTTTCACTTGATGTCGTGTCTTGGCGGCCTCTCTGTGTCAGCACATGCCCACTGACCTCCCCCTCTACTTGCTTCGTGCCCCACGTGGGTGTACCAGGTTTCATTTAGGCACTTCCAGTGTGAGCAGAACCTGGGTCCCGCTGACGAGCTGCTGTTTTCATTAGCGCCGCCACAGATGGCCTTGTGCACATGGCCTTGTGCCTGCTGCCGATGGCCTCTTGGACACCTCAGACGTGTATGCATGCATCCTGTGCACACGTGCGAGCTGCCCTGTGGTTCAGTTTTGCCGGCCCCAGTAGTTCTCAGCCTTGTCGTGTTCTGTGGCTGGAGAGCGGCCTCCAGTCAGGCAGGCCTGTCGTGGCTTTTGGGAGACTCCTGGAGGAAGTAAAGGAGTTGCTCTCTGGAGGAGATGGGGTTCTCTGGGTGGGACTATTAGCACAGTCCGAGAAGCAGTTTAACCAACAACCCCCATGTCAAGCATTAAAAAAAGAAGACTGGAGGCTGAGTTGGCTGGTGGTCTTGGCGAACTCCCTCTCAGCCCTGCTTCTCCAGGGTACGGGGTCTGAGCCCCTCAGCCCCAGCTCACCAGAGGCTGTCAAAGCCTTTCTTACGCTCTTTACTCTCTTGGAAGATAAAATTGCATGCGGAGTCATGATGTAAAGAATTACCTGAAAAAATATGCCACACAACATGCCAAATTTGGGGAAATAAAGCACATGTCAGAAGTTTTAATGGGCTCTGAAGGTATGTCTTTCTGCCACGTTCCATGTTGACTCACCTACAGGGTGCAGGGAGGGTCCCGCTCCTAAGTGCCGCTTTCTCTTAGCAAAGATAATGGAGCCATTTCCTGCAGTTTTTCCCCATTACCGAAATTGGCCTGTGGAGTCTCAGAGCCCCCATTTAGGGTGGAGCAACGTAGAGGTCCCCTAGCTGCCTTCCTCTGTCATCTTCTAGGCCGCTTTGGGGGTGGGTGGGGAGTGCTGTTGGGAAAATAGAATAGTTTGGTCAAGACCCTCACCTTGGGTCCGGTTGGGTGTGGTTCAGCATTCTTTATAAGCAAATTGTGTGTGTGTGTTTGTGTGTGTGTGTGTGTGTGTGTGTGTGTGTGGAGTAAGTGCACATGTGCGTCAATGTATTTTTTTAGTTTTGTTGCTATTCTTGTGTTCTTCGGGGGGGGGAGGGGGAGGAAGAGAGAGAGAGAGAGAAAGAAAGAAAGAAAGAAAGAAAGAAAGAAAGAAGGGGAGTTTGGTGAAGCAGGCAGGTGGGTCTTGGCCTTGGGTGTCCACTCTGCGCAGCCATGCTTTCCAACCTATGGCTCCAAGGACCTTTCGGCCGGTTACCTAGCTCATGGACCTGCGTGAAGGGGTCTGGTGACCCAGCCTGGCATGTAAAGGGTTTCTGGCCCAGTCTGTGAACGGGCTTGAGGGGTCTGGGAGCTCCAGACCCAGCCCTTGCTCAACAGTTGGCCCAGTTGGTGCAGGATTACCGGCAGGTAAAAGAACCCGACAACTGGCGTGGTCGCCTAGCTCTACAGTTGGCGTCACGAACAGGATTAAGAGCTAGACAATTGGCGCTATGAGGATTCCAGGCCTTAGCCTAGCCAGACAAGTGGCTTCTGCATGGAGCTCGGAAACTGTCTGTAGTAGATGCTCTGGGAGTTGGGGGGAGGTTTGCAGTTTTGAGACCAGTTGGGCCCTGGCAGAATCCTCATCTGCATTTTGCTTCTAGTGAGATTGTGTCTTCCTGGGGAAGCAGAGCTTGCTGGATGATTTGCAAACTCCTTCCGAAGAATATGGGCTTATTTCTGGAATCACAGGCTCCTCTGACAAGAGTGCTCCAGAGTTCCTCGGGACTACGTTAACTGGGCTTGTAGAACAGAGCTGGGCTGGGAGAGTGGAAGCTGCTCAAGAGGTGGCGGGACTGTGAGCTGTGCCTGCTGGGCTGGGCGGATGGCTCACCTGAAATTTTGGGGCTCCCTCTGGCCCGGCCCCCACTGCCTTCCTGTCCCCATGAACGGGCCCTCAGTAGATCAACAGGGCTTCCATCGACCCCTCAGGCTGGGGTGAACCTGCAGCCCTTTCCCAGGTGGGCTCTGGGAGCTGCTGGAAGGGGCTTGGGCAGCGAGTTGGCTCTAGGGGTGACAGCAGCACTGGATTTAGGGTGGTGCTGCAAGTATTTGGTTCCTCCTTGGTACAGAGTCTTTTTGTTATTGCCATTTTGTTGCAATTCAGAATGGAACAGGAAGTTGCTGGGCATTCTCTATACCAAGTATACAGGATTTTTTTTTTTTTTTTTTTGTCTTTTTCTGTGTCCGGCAATGGATCGCAACCCTCAGTGTCGCCCCCGTACCGGGCCGGGACCGGCAACGGGATCACAACCCTCGGCGCTGCTCCCGCGCCTCGCTCAGCCAGTGAGCGGGAACCGGTCTGTATGTGGGATCCGAACCCTCGGCGGGAGCGCCACCATGCTCCCGAGCGGCGCACTGTAGCAGTGCGCCACCGGGCCGGCCCCAAGTATACAGGATTTAAAATCACAGACCTCTGTGGTGTTCATTTGATGGTAGGTACCGAGTTTCTGCCCCGTGCTGTGTGCCGTGAGGATTCAGGGAGTCCAGGGAAGTGTGAGGACTCATTGCTTGACATGTCATGGCAGACATAGACCATGCAGGGACTTTGGAAAATGGAGGCCCCAGGGGAGGGAGGGATAGCTCAGGGCGGCAGCTGGGCCAAGCATACGGGCAGACCAGGTGTCTGGCCAGGTGAGGGTGACAGCAGGCGGAGCAAGGCCATGGCTGGAGGGTGCCATTTCTCAGGAGGCCCAGGATATTCTGGAAGTCCAGCAGGAGTGGTGTCTACTTGAAGTGGACAGAGTCTGTTCACCATGGAGGGGACTGTAATGAGCCAGGCAGGGCATGGACAGGATGGCTGGAGGTTAGGGCTGGAGGTTGGAGCCATGATCGTCAGGGTAACCAGGCAGATCACCCCTGCTGGCAAATGCCCAGGGCTCACACCATGTGCCAGCCACATCCTGGCCTCTGGGTGGGTGAAGGCGGCCCCTCAGGATGGGCTTGGGGTCTGGCTGGGGCAACCCGCACTGTAGACTGAAGGTAGTGACCACAGCGGATAAGGCGGATGGTGGTACATGTGAAATGACCATAAGGTGATAAATGGCTAAGGATGCCCAAGCACAGTGGTATAAGTGGTAGATTTTGGAGACTTGAGCTGTGCCGAGGGAGCTATGTGCTGGGGCGCAGACACTGAGCCTGGGCAGCTGCTTGGGCCTCAGTGTGTCCATGGGTCCCAGAGAGGGGGTGCAGAAGCAGCACACACACCAGCCTGACCTTCCTTGGGCCACCGTGCTGTGACAGAGCTTGGCAGGTGCAGGTGGCTCCCTGGGAGGACCTTGGCCTCACCAAGGTCAAAGGCTATTCCCAGCCCCTCACTGCAGGGGGACCACATGAAGGGCTGGCCTTGACTACTATTCCTGCAGACCTCCCGAAGCCCACTATGCCCACACCCAGAATTAGCAGGACTTGGAGAACAGGCTGTGTTAATGGGCATTGGAGGGGCCACTGGCCCGGCTGGCAGCATCTGCCGTGTGTCTGCTCCGGAGAGTTTCTTGTTTAATGAAACAGCAGTCGCAGTTGGCCTGAGCCAGGGAACCACTGGGGCAGGCAAACATCAGACAGGGCTGTGTCAAGGCCGGGTGTGTGAGTGGACGGAAAGATTGGAAAGCAGTAGAGTAAGCACGCTAGGGGACTTTGAGTGTCTGAAGCATTTCATATCTTGCTAAGCCTCACTCGTAATAAGACTGCCAGATCCCAGGAAGAATGAGGCAGAGCAAAGCGAAGAGGAAGCGGATTTAGCTCCAGTTCCATTCTCCCAGGCAGTGACCCGGGAAGAGCCTCCGTTTATGGCATTTTATGCAGCCAGGAGCCTTATGCATGCTGCCAAGCTTTTGGGTTGCGCCGGGCTGCTGAGCACGGGCTACAGATGAGGCGAGAAACGTGTTAAGTCTGGCTGTGGTGGGGTTCAGGGGCCTGCTGAACTCGCAGAGACTGACGGTGCTTCCTCGTGTGCTTCCTCCCAGGCCCTCCAGCGCCAGCACCCCAGGGTCTTGCTGCCACCCAGGACTCGCCTGTGGGACCAGGGGTAAGTCCAGGCCCCCTAGGGCCTACTTCAGAATTCCATAATAAATTACTTGAAAGTTCTGGGTGCAAGAAAATACTCCTTGTGTCTTTAAAAACAGTTGATCTGTTTGCTGTCATGTGGCTGGGCTTGCTGGCTGCAGTGGTGGGGGCATCTTTAGTCCCCTCTTGCCATTTCTGTGTGGCCTGTTCTCACGTGCCGGCTCATAGCGTCGGACTGTCAGGTTGGTGTCTGCCCGCTGGTTGTTAATGATGCTCCAGTTTGCTGTCTAAGGCATGTTTCAACATTTTAAAAAATGCTCTATTCTCCCTGGCAATTATGTCTAATGGTTGAGACTCTGTCAGGACTCAACAGCCTTTGTTTTTTTCTGAGAAGCACCTCTCTCCCAGACCTACTGTGCCAGGAGAGGGCATCTTACAACCAGCAGCACTCAGAGCTGCCAGGCTGCCAGGCACCAGCCGGCCCCGCAGGACCCCAGCTGGAGACCTGGCAGCCTGGCAGGTACATGGGATTTCCTGTGTGGAAGGAAAGGCTCCTTGTAGCTGGGCCGTTGCCTGGCCAGTGGGTCGGGCCATGGCATGCTCCTGCTTGGCTGGCCCTGGAATCTTCTGTGGACCCAGGGCTCACCTGTGGCTCTGGGCTGGCGAGACCTGAGTTGGCTTGTTCCTCCTGAGATGACTTTGTCTACTAGCATCACCCTGGAAATTGACTTTCTAGAAAAGTTGAATAATTCAGTATTGAAGGCTGTCTCCAGGAAGCAGCTTAATGTGTAACATACAGCTTGGAGACTGGATCACAAGTGAATATTACATTCGCCTGAAGATGCATGTCTGTGTAATTCTCACAATAGTCCTGCAAGTTAGGTACTCCCAGGCTTCCCAGTGGCCTAATCCAACATTTTCCCTGTAGCAGTTTCCACAGTACCCCTAAGTGCTCAGGGGCCACAGAGCAGCGCTCCCCACTTCCAGAGGCAGGAGAGGCCCACAACACTGGTGGGGTCAGGGGGATGAACAGACCCTGAAGGTCTCCTCTGTCCCCTGACGAAGCCATCAGCATGCCCCACTGCTTCACGCACCCCTCGTCCCTCCCTCAGTGCCTCTCCATCATGAGCCCTTCTCTGTGCCAGTACCTCCTTTGGGCCAACTGTCACTGTTGAAATGAACATCCCAAGTGGCTGTGTGTGTTGGAATCAGAGTCAGGACTTGAGATATGTGTCTTCAGTAGAGTGTGGGTCCCCATCCCTCCACATCAGCCTTTTTGTAGCAGCATTCATTTTAAAAATATTTGTAACATTTATAGGTTTATCATGTGTCAGGTACCATGCCAAGCCCTGCTCATTTAATTTTCACAGTAGTCCTGCACTTTAGGTACTGTTGTTATCCCCATTTTACAGGTGAGGAGACTGAGGCAAAAAGAAGTTAGCTGACTTGCCTGAGGTCATGTGATAATGAGGTGGTCGAGTGGGGATTCCATCCCTAGCTGTCTGTCTCCAGAGCCTGTGTCAGCTTCCAGTGTGGCCACTGCCTGTCTGACAGGAACCCAGGTGGCTAGAGTCGAAAGGGGCCTTGCAGGTGTTCGGTCCAGGGATGGAGGCGAAGCCCAAGAGGTCACAAGCCAGTCCCCTGCAACCCAAGACTCCTCCCCCTTCTCTACTTGCTTTTCCTTGTTAATAATATTTTTATTCAACTATTATGATCTGGGAAAGATCATGGAATCACACCTCTCTATAATTAAAATGAAGGAAATTTTGAAGCGGTTGTAGGTTCCAGAACAGCCACTGACCAGGAGACTGCAGACGTCACCCCGGCCGTGGCTGGATCCAGAGTTGTCCTGCATCCCGTGGGTCTGTGCTGCTGTATGGGGGGGGCTTTGCGAGCTGACCTGAGTGCACTTGATCATCTCACCCAAGCTCTCTTCCCTTCCAGTTGTCACTTTCCCAGCTGGCAGCTTCCTCACAGTCCCCAGCTCAGCGCCGCTCAGCCCGACCCACTTTACAGCAGCCAGGCGGCTCTCAGCCCTCCCCGGCCCAGGCAGTAAGTGTGCCCCCGCCCCCCACCTTCTGCCAAAGAAGCCACACAGTTCCTGAGTTCTGCGGATGCCTTTGATTTCTCAAGCTGTGCAGGGCCTCAGTTAACCCTATATGGGCTGTAGGGACGGGTGGAGTGGGGGCGTTGCTGACTTTCCTGCTTCAGACATACGCCGTCTTTCTGTCTCAGAGACTGGGGAAGAAAGTGTCTGTGAGCTCTTCTTGCCACAGCGCTTGATGGAGATTTTGGCCTCCCTGAGAAAACAGAGCGGACGTGCCTGAGATCTGTGAAGCAGCAGGAAAAGGCGCCTGTGGCCGCAGTTGTAAACAGAGGCCGGACAGTCTCCAGCCCCTGGGCTGCCCGGCTGTCAGCAGCTAGGGGAGAGTTGGTGGAGCCTACCCTTGGGTTCAGGTGGAGCTGGTGGCTAAGATAGGCTCATGTTGCCATTAACCTTGACAAAGTCACATGCAGTTTGGTCTCAAAACCCGACTGTTCACCTGTGAACTGCGCCTCCAGTCTTACCCTGAAAGTCTGTTGAGCAGAAATAGCTCCTGTTAGTTAGTCGTTGGAAAGCACTCGGCATCCAAGTGTCAGATGCCTTGTTCTGAAACATTCCTGGGGCTCAATCGCTGCTCAAGAGCTTGCCTGTCTTTTTATTATTGGTACTTGAGGCATGTGGGGGTTGCCTCTGGTTTTGTGGGATCCTCTTTGTGCTGAAACAGAAAGTGTGGGAGTCAAGCTTGAAAGAGAATATTCTGGGCCCCTAGACATGCTCTCCCTTTAGACTAGGTGGGGGGAGGCAGAAGGTGGAATACAGGTGAATGTCTAGACTGTTCAGGGGACGTGTGGACAAGAGAAACGTCCAGACACAGCACCAGGGCTCGGTACCACAGTTTATCTCTGAGTGTTGGAGGAAGCTTCCTTCATCTTTGTTCTATAAACATGTTTTGATATTAATTTACCATCTCAGGTGTCAAATATCTCCCATGGTTTATAAAACTGATGATTCCTTCCTTCTCACTTTTCGACTCACAAATCAGGTTGCCACGTGAATATGGGATACCCAGTTAAATGTTGTGTTCAGATTAACAGCAAATAATTTTTTAGTGTAAGTATTTCCCAAATATTGCATTGGACATACTTATACTAAAATTATTCATGTTTACCTGAAATTAAAATGTAATTGCACCTCTTGTGTTTTCATCTGCTGAAGGTTGCAACCCCACAGGGTCAATTCATTGATTAATCCCCTTAAATCTGAGCATTGTTGGTCGTTACAGGTTGAGAGCCTTGCTGGCCTCACCTGGAGTTCCTTATTTTGTTCAGCAGGAGCTCCCGTTGGAGGGCAGGATCTCTCACTTGGAAGCTGACCTGAGCCAGACTTCCTCTGTTCTGGAAACATCCGTCGAACAGCTACAGGAGCTGCCTTTCACACCTTTACATGCTCCTATCGTTGTGGGAACCCAGACCAGGAGGTGAGCTGCGGGCCTGGGAGGGACTGGACCAGGAAAGTGCTGTGCGATCAAACCGTGGTTCTCTGAACAACAGGCTTTACACGCAGAGGGCACCAGCAGGCCCTGCCATCTCTGCCATCCTTTCCTGGGAGGCTGGCTGAGGAGTCTTTGTGTTTTAGTTCTACAAGTCAGATTTCAAGAGCCTCAATGGTGCTTCTGCAGTCCTCTGGCTTTCCTGAGATTCTGGATGCCAATAACCAGCCCGCTGAAGCTGTGAATCCTACAGATCCTGTGAAGTTTAACCCTCAAAAGGAAGAATCAGATTGTCTTCAGAGCAATGAAATAGTGCTACAGTTTCTTGCCTTTAGCAGGTAGGTTCTTGAACGTTCTGCCTGTGTTATTCTTCCTGGCTTTCACATTTCTTGTGTGGTTCTGACCTGGCAGAACTCTGTATCTTCAGGTCTTATTACAGTAAGGAGTACTATCTGTTTTTATTTTGGCTGAGACCCACCCAAAGCCGTTCTAAATGCTTACGGCTTTGCCCAATCTTCTGTGGTCCTTAAGTGAAATGTGGACAGTGTGTTGCCCAGTTCTCATGAATTAGTGCAGCTCAGGGAACAGAATTCTCCAGCCAAGAGCATCATTACGCCTGGTGAGGGCTGAGTCTGGCTGGCTTGTTGAGATCTCAGTGCAGCTGTTCACGCAGGTGACAGGCAGCCTCTTAACATTGCCCCAGCAACTGCAGTGCCCCGACTGTCTCCCTATGCAAGTGCATGTCACAAACCCCAGGCTCCCTGTCATGGACATTTGACTAATTCAGAGCTGTTGTTGGATTTAGAGCAGCCCCGGATTACCGAGGAACGCCATGGCCAAAGACTGTGTATTTCACCTTCCAGTTCTACCGCTTCCCACCTGCGACAACGCCACGACTGCAGCTGGTCAAGCTGGACAAGGCTGGGAAGACTGGCTCAGGCTCCCTGTCCCACGTCCTTGTTCCAATCAATAAAGACGGTGCCTTTGATGCTGGTAAGTGCTTGTGCACGTGGTGAGCGCAAGAAATCCCACACCAAGCTTTGTGTGTAAATTGTATTATTAAAAAAATAATGTACTAAGAAAAATTTGAAACATATGCAGAATTTGAGAGAATGGTATGATGAGTCAGAGCACCAAGCAGTTATGAACTATTTCCCAACCTAGTTCCCTCCCCAGAACTATGGTTGTTTTGAGGCAGATTCTTATCTATAAATATTTCCTTATGTGTATCTAAAAGGCTAAGGAGTCTTTTTAAAAAAAAAATTTATTGAATCATAATTGATTATACATATTTTTGGGGTTCAACGTTGACATGTGTTGATCAAATCAACATTACTTGCATATATATTGTTACAAATTGTACTTATTCTTTATGCCCCTTGTCCAATCTCTCCCCAACCCCTTCTCCCTCCCCTCTCTAATTACCCTAGATTTCTTCTCTCCTTCTGAAAGAGTAATGGTTTACTCTGTTTTGTTATGGTTACTCTGTTCATTTGTTGCCTAGATGGTCTGTCCAATGCTAAGAGGTGTGCTGTTCATTTGTTGCCTAGATGTCTGTTTTGTTATGGTTACTCTGTTCATTTGTTGCCTAGATGGTCTGTCCAATGCTAAGAGGTGTGTTCAGGTTCCCCATATTATCATAGAGCAGATGCTTCTTCCATCACTCTGGAATGGGCTTTGTGGAGAGAGACATCCTTTTCTTTACTTTGGTCTCTGCTGGTGACTCTCCTTGTGTCAATGCACTCCAGTGACTGGCGGTCATTTGCATGGTGGTTGTGGCGTCCAGCCACTTATGCGGCAGCCGTGGTTATTGCAGTGGCTGTGGTGGGCCATTCACATGGAGGTGATGTTTTTGGCATGCTCCTTGGCACTGGTGGTGTGTCTGGTTGTGGGAGAGGGGTCCAGTCCCTGACTCCATGTTTCAGGTCCCCAGGTGGACCCTGAGGTGCTGGCAGTATGCCTGGGCCAGAACTAATTTTTTGTGCTTTGCTTACTTCTAGAATGGGGGAACTTCCTGTGGGGACCAGTACTTGAGCTCTGTGGTTTAGCAAAATTGCTGCTTTGCTGCTGATTCCGTAGGGAAGGCTTTTTGTGCAGTTCAGGTTGTAATGGTTGACTTTACAGGTACTTCTGGCTCTCCAAAGACCTGGTGCACCTAGGTTGTGTAGAAACTCTGATCTGCGTCTGAGTCTTTTCATCAAACTGCACCCCCTGCAATTCTATATTCCTGACCAGTCTCCTCTGAGTGGTCCTTCGCTGACTGGGGTGCTGGTCAGCTGTCCTTGCTGTGCCCCAGTGTTCCCCTGGTGGGCCTGTCTCCCCCACCGTCTGTGTTCCAAACACTTCCCATGGGACAGGCCGTGTGCCAGTCCCTTGTGATAACTCACTGGCCTCTGAATGGCTCCTTTTTTTCAGTTGTTGTGGCTCCTCATACCTATGTGGGTCCACAGGAACCCTATTAGTGGTCTTGGTGGCCCTCTTCTCCCCGCCACCTCCAGGCAACTCCATCCAAAGGGCACAGCTGTGGCTTTTGCAGGCTCCTGCTCCATGTGCTCAGCAGTTCCAGCCTTAAAGTGGCCATGACACAAAATGGTTGGAGCGGTATTTTCTTTCTCTCATCGTGGTTTCTCCCACCTTCATGAACTCCATAGGTCTCTTCACCTCTTCCCCTGAGCTCTAGCAGCCCTAGCTTGGCTGTTGTTGCTTTTATGTAGTTGTAAATTGGTTGACTTGTGGGAGAGAGTGACACTGGTGACTGTCTATTACACCATCTTGACCGGAAGCCTAAGGAGTCTTTTTTGAAAAACATAAACTTAATATTGTCTAACCTAAAAATTTAATAATAATTTCTTAATACCATCAAATACATAGACAATATTAACGTTCCCATAGTCACTTCATAAGGTTTTTTTAATAGTTTGTTCAAAAATAAGGTCCATATATTGTAACGAAGTGGTGTGAATCTTGCATGTCTTTACATCTGTAGTGGCTGCCACCATCCCCAGTCTCTTTTTTCTTTTTAGTTTATTCGTAGAAGAAGCCTCCCTCTCCTGTAGAGTGTCCATCCCACATGGATGTCCGTCCCACAGTCTGGTGTCCCTCTATCCCTCTTTTCTTGTAAATTGAGAGTTAGATACGGATGCATATTTTTTGTTTTTGGCAAGAATTCTTTGTAGCTGGTGGTAGTGTATACACCATCTCGGCAGCACCATAATGTCTGGCTTCTGCTTTTTATGTTACGTCAGTGGCCATTATGACCGTTGCTTGGATTGATTATTTCATTCAAGATTGCGCAGGGTGACATTCCACTTCTAGAACACCTTCTTTGTCGGCTGGAATGCTTCCTTAACCAGAAAGTTCCCCTCATCAAGTGTTTGGTTACCTCCAGGTACAGTTCAGGTAGGAAAGGCAGGATGATGCTTGATTCTTCCCCTTTATTTGCCAATTTCCAAAATAATGACATGGTTTCCTAGCATCCTTCAAGGGTGGGGCCAACGACTTTTGGATTTAAACTACAGTGGATAGAAACATACCTGGCATGTTGTTGTTTTTATTGGTGGTCAATTTTCCCATCTTTGGTCAGTGACACAGTTCATAAGGGACTGAGCTGGGGTCTGAGTTGCTGCTGCCTCTTGAGGCGGGAAGTAAAAGGTAGGAAGAAAAGCTACATTGCAGAACTGACCCCAGGTGGAAGCCAACACCATTAACATCAGATGGAGCAGACAGAGGCAAATGCAGTGCTAGGTTAAGTCATAACCAGGAGAATCATTCACTAGGAAAATAAGTAGCTCTGAGTCTGTGAGCCTCTAACATAGATAGCCTCAGAATAAAAGGAAAAATTAATGGACTTATACGGAGAAATTGACAAACCCCGCAATCATAGGGAATTTTGACACACCTCTCCAGTAAACTGATAGATCAAGCAGAAACCAAATTAGTAAATATATTATACAATACAATTTGAAGAGGTGATCTCAGAAAACCTATACATCCAATTTGGAGAATATGTATTATTTTCAAGCATACTTTGAAACTTATAAAAACTGATCATTCATATATATATTTTAGGCCTATACCAAGAGAATCAATGTCAAATATAATTATGGCATTCTCTGATCATAATGCCACAGGGTCAGAAATCAGTCACTCTCTCTTCCATAAATGCTCCAAATTGCTGTAATTTTTTTGAATTTTAAAACATACTTCTAATTATTCCATGGGTCAATGAAATCAAAATAAAAATGACTAATTATTTAAAACGGAATGACAAAATAATATTGTATATCAAAACTTGTGAGATGCAAGAAAAATGGTAATTGCAGGGAAATTTGCAGTTTTAAATGCCTGTATTGGGGAAGAAGAAATAATCCTTCATACAGATGTAATTGTTCACCTCAAAAGTTTTGGGTGAAAAAACAGAACCAACCCAATAAAAGTAGAAGAAAAGAAATGCAAAAATGACCATAAATGCTTAGGAAACAAAGCAACAGTCGAAAGGATCAGCCGCACAGTTGGGCATGAGGAGTCAGCAGGTACAACAGGTCGTGCTCCTTGTTTCTTGTCCGAGGTGAGAATCCATCCAGCGTCAGGTGGAGGAGATTGAAATACTGCTGTTCTTTATAATATATTTATTTATAATGGAGCAACTAGGGAACGCGGTCAGTCTGAGAGCCAGCTGTGCTTACTGCTGCCCACCCCTGAACTGGCTGACTGACAGCTGCAGGCCTCTCCCCGGGGGTAGAGCCGTCGCCCTCTGCAACCCTAGAGGCACATCTGAGACTTGAACGTGCTCTCCTGTGGCCAATCTGAGGAGAAGAGAGCAGTGGGGAGGGGTGAGCAGCCGAGGCCCTGTCCCTTCTCCTTTCTCCATAACCTCAGTTGGAGGAGCGGCTCCTGCCCTGAGAAGAGCATGTGCTGGGCTGGGAGGGGGCACAGCAGTACCCTCTGCATGGAGGCGCGAAGCCAAGGGAAGGACATTCTCCTACAGCAGTTCCCGGGTTTGCTTCTCTCAACTCACTGGCTTTAACCATTAAGTTTATGGCCAACTAGGGGTGAGGCCATTGTCTGGAGACCAGTCACCACCCCAGAGTGGTTTCCAGCTTTCCTGAGATCACTTCTCCCAAACTAACCACCTTTCCTTTGTCCATCCTCCTGGGACAGTTGTGGGCAGTTCAGCTTATGTCCCCAGAAGGCTCTGAAGTGGATCAGAATAACGCACTAATTTCAAGGCTCCTCTAACCCTTGCTGAAAACGCATTCCCGATTCTCTTTCCCATTCCAAGTTCTACGCAATCATTTTGTCTAGTGTGGATCATCAGAGGTTCTGCAGTGAGGTCGTTAAACAGTAGCGTTGAGATCATTCAGTAAAAAGGCCAGCCACTTAGAGCTGCACCTGACTTGAATATAAACCCCTTTCCATGATGAATTTCCCAGGGAGAAATTAAAGTCCCCAAATTAAATTTTCTTAAGTTGAAGTCCAAAGAAAATTAAACTCCAAAAATTAAAAATTAAAATAAAAAATTAAAAATAAAACTCCAAAAACAGATTTTCTTGTCATTATGAATTAAAACTCTGAGTTCAAATTCTTAAGTTAAACTCCAAAAAAAAAAAAAAAGTTCCTTTCAGTTTCTTATATAGCAAAATCTCTGCCACAGGTGTCCTCTGCCTGGTCAGGTTGGGGTTCCCTTCAGCAGCTGCAGCTAGGGAAGTGGGGTCCTCCCTCAACGGGCACGGTTCCTTGGGGAAGTTCTTTTGGTTCAGCACCAAGTCTCTCATGAGCCTCACTTGAAAGATATTTGTTGTTTTTGTTGAAATATAATATGCAAATGGTAAAATGCACGGATCTCAAGTGTATAGTGTAATGACTTTATAAAAATTAACTGATTTCATTTTTTTAGAGCGGTTTTAGATTTACAGAAAAATCAAGACTGTCCCTCCAGCAGTTTCCCCTGTGATTAACATCTTGCATTGGTGTGGCTCATTTGTTACAATGGA